CCTGGCGCCGTCGTTATTTGTTTTTCGGCGCCAGGCGAAGACCTTTTTATTTAAGCGTCATTTTAATTGTTAACAATATTTACTTATTTATCTGGCCAGGGCGACTTCTTTTCTTTTCTTTTCTTTTCTTTTCTTTTCTTTTCTTTTCTTTTATAACTTCTTTTATATCTTTTATATTTTTTATTTATTTTACATTGTTAATTTTAATTTTATATTGTTATTTTTGTATTTTTTTTGTATTTTATTGTGTTGTAAGCCGCCCCGAGGCTTCGGCAAGGGGCGGCATAGAAATGTTCTAATAAATAAATAATAAATAAGGGAGACGAGGCTTTGGGGACACAGCCAAACCAGAGACAGGAGGGGACAGGAAAGATGGCAGGCTGACTTCTAGTGCCGTCACCTGGACAGGCATTCCGGAAACCCGGTGGCACCTGGCGGGTTGTTAGCCCTCCCACCATCGATCTACTGCTAATTAGGATTTGAAGTCAGGGCTACTAGAAGCTTATGAATACGGGAGACTGAATTCTTGTATATGGCTCCACGGTGAGGCTGGGGAAATCTCGAGACACCAAAAACCTTCAAAACCCATGACGCTAGTCCTCAAGAATTCAGGGATTTCTTAGCCCAGTGCAATGATCCTGAGAAACTCACCACTGAATTTCATACCACGGCATCTCCTCCCTCATCCTGCCTTACAGAGCAGAGCAGTGCCACCCACGGCACAAGGGAAGGATTTTGAACAGAAGGGATTTGGTTCATTGAAAAGTTAACCTCGTCACGAGAGAGCTATTCTTAGCTGCCAATCTGCCTAAACGAGATAAAGACAGCCTCCCCACTCTTCCAGATGTTTGCACTACAACCCCAAGCATTTACTATGCTGGCTGGGGATGATGGGAGCTTTAGTTTTACCCTGAAAAGTAAAATGGGGAGTTGGGGGCGGAAAGCTGAGACCCACAATGGAATCAGTGTGTTACATTCTGGGTAAACCAGGAGGACCCGGTTCTCACTGCCTTGGGAAATATTTACTAGAAACAATCTGAAGTCCATTTGGAGACAACACAGTCCAAAGGAACGCAGGGAAATTCTACATACAAGGTTCTAATTTGGCATGAGAATAACACTCCTATATTTCATTGTCACCTTTCAGAGGGACTCCACCTTTTCTGTCTCATGTTCCCCCCCCGCACAAAGTCTGGTTTTACCGGCGGCGGCAGGCGGGGGGGCAGGGGCAGCCGCCGCCTAAGAAGGCATACCTCTGTCTGGCTACCTGGTCATTTTAAGAATATACTAAATCTGGGACAGGGCGCATTCCAAACCAATGACTCTAAACAAGTTGCTAACGAAATCTAGGCAAGAGGTTCTCCCTCTACACCTTTGATCTTTTCTGCTCATGTGGTTATTTGGCAATGTTAAGATCTAAACATTTATTTTAGGATGCCAGCTTAGGAATCCGTAGCATAAATCATTCCAAACATCTTTTGCTGAAGTCATGGTGCAATTCCTCATCCTACAACAAAGAAATTCAGCAGAACAGAAAACGGGCAGTGTCGGTGCAGTACCGGAACAATGGATCCCCCATGATGTGACTGATTTTATCAAGTGTTTTATCTTCAAAGATGGTGCAAAAGAGACAGCTAAATGGCCAAGTGTGCGACGGTGAATTTGACTAAGCCCCAGAATTATAACCAGCCAGTCCACATCACTCTTCACCATTAGCTGGGATGGAAGAGAGCCGCAGAGCAAAGTACCCGGAGCACCGCTTGTGGTCGCCCCCGCCTTGTACCATCTTTACCACGGTTGTCAATTCCTCTTTCTTTTAAATAAATTTTATTAAAATGTTAAACTAATCCTAAAAACATCCATCATCACATACATCGAACTTACTGGGTCGGCCCCTTACTACGTATCTTTTAACATTCTATG